TTTCAGAGGAGGTTTTTACTTAACTAAAACTATAGGAGAAATTTTTATGATTGTCGGAAACATCATGGGAGGTTTTTGTGCCTGTTAATTATAATATTATTGTGTAATTACACACTATAATGAATGTGTGTATACACACTAATAGTACACACATTGTGTATACACACTAAGTACACACACTATTAGTGTGTGTATAAATGAAAAACCTATTAAGTAATTGTGTGTGTAATAATAGTGTAAACTCAGTGTGTATACACTAATATACTAAATGTGTGTACACATTCACTAGTATAATGTGTGTATACACTAGTATAATAGTGACGTTATTCACATTGTCACATAATGAGCTTTAAATGRTTGAACATTCTAGAAGAATAGTACCCAGATCAACTAGATTATTGGATTGCAGTTAACCTTACCAATCTTCATACACACATTTCTCCTAAGGTATCGGGTTGTAGTTAACCTTACCAATCTTCATCCATGAATATAGAACAAACTCACAAACAGAAGGTGCAGAAGGGACCCAGGAGAGTTCTGTAACTCTCAGCCATGGATGTGACATTCGAGATCCCAAAAGGAAAGCAGTTCACCATTGAGGTGGGTTTCTTTGACACTGTGATTGAGATAAAAGAGAAGATCAACAAGTACCAAGGGATCCCCGTTTCCAAACAAACCTTGGTTTTCAATGGCAAAGTCATGGCCGATGATAAAAACACCGAGTTCTATGAAGTCCTACAAGGGTCTCGCATTCAACTAAAGCTTGAACCAGAATCTGCAAAAACTGTTGTCAAGGTAGAAGAGTCGGTACCATCAACCAAAGTTCAACTCCGTATAAGGGTGCCCCCCACCAAGAAACAGTATTCCCTTGGAATGGATGTAAATGATAGCGTTGGCCAATTGAAAGAGAAGATTCAAGAACTGGAAGAGGTTCCTGCTAGTCGACTTGTATTACTTCATTCCGACATCCAATTACAAGTTGCTCATCGATCACTTGGTGATTATGGACTCTCCGATCTATCAGAGGTGACTGTCATTTTTAAACCCTTCTCTTCTACCACACCACCACCACCAACGCCAACGCCAACTCCAACTCCAACGCCAATGCCAACGCCAACGCTAACACCAACACCGACGCCAATGCCAACGCCAACGCCAACGCCAACCCCAACCCCAACCCCAACACCAACACCAACGCAACCACCACCACCAACAACAACAAGTGCAGGAGGTAATTCGGTGAATTCGAAAAAACTGAAGTTGTTGATTCTGCCAAAGTGTGGTACGAAGAAAATTCAAATAGAAGTGAACCCTTCAGATAATGTTGGGGAATTGAGGAAAGAACTGCAAAGGTTGCACCAAAATCGTCACTTTCATCTTCCTAGTGAAGGATACTTCTTTATCTATAAACAGAACGTAATGGATGATGATCGCTCGTTTCGTTGGCACAATGTGCGACAAGGTGACACAATAGAGATCTTTAATGGGAGTGTAACTGGTGGATCCTGAATCTTCTCTTTTATTAATTGTTGTTGAATTTTCTTCTTATTCTTCTTCTTCTAATTTTTTTTTGACATAAGATAATACAATTAATGTAGGCAGAAATTACTGTGTGATTTTAATCTGCTTAATTGGTTTCTTAATTAAAGCCATATTAAGTTCAATTATCATCCAATACACGACCCAATATTATCTATTATGTTGCTTCAATATATATTTGGGCTGCAGATGGATTGGATTTATATACACAAATGACAAATCCAGTCTAAGCTTCCTCAAGACATTTTTATAATCTATTAATTATCAAAAAATATAGTTCAATGTGGTGATTTTGAAGGGATGAGAGATCCATCATATAGATGGCCGAACCCTATAGGAAGGTTTAGCGAAATTTCAAAAATTTCTCTCTATCTCATATGGGAATTGCATTCCCTAATTTAGAAAATTGGATGAGGTCGAAGTGAACTGCCGAGGTGCTTGGGGTTGTGCCCCACTTGATCTTTGCCATGCTAAGTGAGTTAAGCCGAGGTGGCCTATTGGGGTTGAGCTTCATGCTGAATCTCTGCAAGGTGTCAATGGTCTTGACCAGGTTTGAGGTATGTTGGTCGACTTTCAAGCTCTTCACCACCATATCATCCAYGTAGGCTTCGACCTTTCTTCCCATTTAGTGCTTGAAGACCTTGTTGACAAGGCGTTGGTAGGTGGCCTCAGCATTCTTGAGGCTGAAGGGCATGACCTTGTAATAGTACGTGTCATGCCTAGTGATGAACAAGGTCTTCTCCTCATCCTCGGGGTGAATCTTAATCTGATTATATCCAAAGAAGGCATCCATGAAGCTAAGTAGCTCATACCCTATGGTGGTGTCAATGAGGTGGTCTATCCTCGGCAAAGGAAAACCGTCTTTGGGGCAAGTTCAGTTGAGGTCTGTAAAGTCAATACAGATCCTTCATTTCCCATTAGCTTTCTTTACCATAACAACATTTGACAACCAGTTAGGGTAGTATACCTCTTAGATGAAATCAACGTCGAGTAGCTTGTCAACTTTCTTTCTTATATCCTTCCAATGCTCCGATGCAAAGTTCTTTTTTCTTTTCCGAACTAGCCTAGAGCTCGGGTCCCCACTCAGCTTGTAAGTAATGACCGAATGGTCAATTCCGGGCATGTCAATGGCAGACCAAGCAAAAATGTCGGCATTAGTTCAGAGGAAACTTACCAGTTCAGATAAGCTTTGTGGGGGAAGGTTGGACCCGACATTGGATTGTATTCTTGGGTTCGGCCTCATCTAGGGCGACCGAGACGAGATCCTCAGCCGGTTGACCTCAACTTGTTGGTTCCTCCTTGAGGTCAAGGCCCTTAAGTGGTAGGGTTTCCTTGTTCTTGTCCTTCAATGCTACCACGTAACACTGCCAGGCGACTTGCTGATCCCCCTGAATGACTCCAACGCCGTGCTAGGTGGGGAATTTGTGGGCGAGGTGGTAGGAGGAGATGGCTGCCTTGAGTGCATGGAGGGTCGGCCTCTCGATGATGGCATTGTAAGGGGAGCTGATCCTTAGGACCAGGAACTCATTCATCCTCGTCACCTGCCAAGGCTCTGTCCCTACCGTGATGGGTAGGGTGATTCTTCCTTTTGGCCTGACCATGTTGTCGGAGAAGTTGACAAGTGAGACATCGGCGGGCTGAAGGCACTCGGGTTCCAACTTCATCTTCTCAAATGGATCGTAGAAGAGGATGTCGAGTGAGGAGCCGCTGTCTACTAGAATCCTCTTCACCATCAAGTTCTCTACGACGGCCGAGATCGCRAGCGCATCGTCATGGGGGACTTTGACCCCCTTTAAGTCCTCATTTGTGAATGCAAGGTCTTCTTCTTGCTTTGGTTTCTTGAGGGTCGGCCCTTGGATGTTTAGTTGTCTTGCGTAGGCCTTGCAGGCTGAGGCCGAGGCTCTGTCCAAGGTTGTGCCCTTGGCGATTAACATCTATGATGCCGAGAAGTTATTGTTGTGGTGCTGGTGCTGCTATTGGGAAGACGAGGCCCCGACCTTGCCCCAATATACTGCTTGAAAGTCTTAGCGGCATTCCCACAGATGGCATCAATTGTTGCTGGTCAAAATGGGTTGAGGGCAACACTATCAATTTACTCCCAATCCAAGATGCTGAGGTGCAGTGAGGCTTGAGCCCCGGAGAGGCCGAGGCTCCGCCCAAGGCTGGTCCTGCAAGGATGAGAGCGTCAGAGGCCCTGGGTGATTACCTGAGGCGGAGACTTTGATGGTCAAGTTAGTACTAAGAGGGGTATAAGGTAGGCGAGGCCTGAGGTGTGAAAACTCAGACAAGGCCGTGAAGGAGAAAGAGTTCTCAAGTGCTTGTTCTTGAGTTCAAGTTCCAATCCCTTACCGTGACTATAGATTGAAACAATTAGCTATAGACTTCAGCTTTTATTCATGGAATATGGCCATGGTTTTCAATTAGTTCTATATTAAAACCGTGGCTATATATTGAAACAATTAGCTATGGTTTTGCAAGAAACCAAGGCTATAGACTTCAGATTTTAGCCACGGTTTGTCGAAAACTGTAGCTATAAGTTAATGTATTAGCTTTGATTTGTAGAAAGTCGTAGTTATAGGTTAATGTATTTAGCTTCGATTTGTAGAAAATCATAGCTATAGGTTAATGTATTTAGTTTTGGTTTGTAGAAAACCGTATCAATAAGTTGAAGTATTTAGCTTCGGTTTTGGAAGAAGAATCATGGTTATAAGTTGGTACATGCTTTAGCTATGTTTTTGTAATAAACTGTGGCTATAAATGGAAGGCTTTAATTACGATTTTGTAATAATCCGTAGTTATAGATTTAATATATAGCTATGGACAACTTAAAAACCATAGTTATATGCATCTTTTAGCTATGATTCAGTTTGTGGCTAAACGCTCACATGATTTGCATTTTTAGCTATGATTTTATTGACCTTTAGCCATGATTCTGTCCGTAGAAAAAGCTCATATTTCTTGCATGTAGTGAACATTCCACTAATTGAAGATGTTATTCTTGTAAAACTACAACGTTGGTTGCATGACTTTAGCCGTAAAGACCATCGTATTCATTTACTTTGGCTCATATGCCTGTTCTAATATTGTCTTGCATTGGTCAATGAGATGGTCGTAATCTAATTACCCTTATTAGTAGCCACTCTAATTCAACTGAAGATGCTATTTAAGAAAACAAAGATTTGTTCATTTTATATATATATCTAATTGGATCCATTGCTTCCTCTATGCACAACGAAATTTTACTAAATAAGTCCACAATATTAACAAATCGACCTAGTCAATTTAGGCATTATTCTTGTTCCAATTGAAATGAATTAATGGCTGTCATTCTCATCCAAAACCCATTTATGTAGCACTCAATTATATATAAAGCTTTTAAAGGCAGGTGAAAGGTTGTGAGTGGAAAGGTAGGTTCTTTACACTAAAAAGAAGGTAGAATAGAGAGAGAAGAGAAGAGCAACATGGAAATGAGCAGGGTGAAAGCTTGTATGTTACTTGTATTCTTAATCAGCACAATGTGGATGAACGAGCAGGTTGAAGCAAAGTTGTTAAACATTGATCCATGTAAAGGTCCCAACCCTCCACCTCATTGCCTTCCACCAGGTACAGATCCAAAATCCCCTCCTCAACAAGCTAATACATATAATCGTGGCTGCAGTAAAATATTCAGGTGTCGTGGAAATTAAAATATTATCATCTGATGAAGAAAGTTCAAAGGCTAGCTCCATTTGGTTGCACTTTTCTCTCTCTCTCTCTCTCGGATCAATGTATTGTATTACCTCTTGCATCCAAGTATTATGTTGTTCAAACATCTATTAATAAAAAATTTCTTCAAAAATAACAGTTATTATTTGTTACTTAATTACTTATTTATTTCCTCTTTTTTATGATTATTTCTATTAACATTGGGAGAATTAGAACACGGTTGTTTTCATTTGCTTAATGCAGCCTAACCTAACCTACAGAATACCCGAATCAAATTCATTATATTCTTGGGTTTTTGGGTGAACGATATTCTATACCTAAGGCGGCATTTGTAAAAATACAAACGCAAATTTCACCAGTACAGATGCGAATGAAAATGGTTTAAGAGAATGCAAATTGAAACCGGATCTCCATATACATATTTGTATTGATTCCAATTGACTGTAATGAGGCAAAGTCACAATGCATTTTCGTGAATATTTTTAATCATAAATTATTACAAAAGCAAGTAATATAGCTTTTCACAAGTCTGGAAATGCTAATATAGTCAAGTAAAACAATTGTGTGAGCGATCTATTGAACTAAAATCGATGTATGGTTGATTTATTCAAGTAAAATGATCCTATTCTTGATCTATTCAAGCAAAATAGACCGGCTACCAATCTGTTCAAGAAAAACAGTTATAAAACAGATCTACATCTTACCGAGGATTAAAATATTGGTATCGAGTATCGTACCAGACAAATCGGATATGGATATGGATATAGATATGCTTTGGAAACGCATTGATACAGACGAAACATATGAAAAACTTGGATACACTAGAAAACACATAAATTTCATAAATACACTAATAACACTAAATTTATGGTCAAACAGCCATAAATAATGTATAAATATATAAGAAAGTGTACATAAAAATATATCATACAATGCATTAATTAAGTGTCCAAGATGGACTTATTATATTTATCATAATTATTAAGGCTCTTGTGCCACGTGTGCAGTATCCCTTGTTCAAATCACTCTATTTGTGTAGGATTTGAATTTTTAATTGAAGGCGCTGCGTATCGGTCAGTGTCTCCCTATATCGAACAATATTTAATTCCTTGCATCTTACAACTATACTAGATCTATTACTGATCCATTTAAGTAAAAGTGATTAATCCATCTGGATTTATATTCCCAGATCTATAAAACATTATTTTTAGCAATAAAGAGTTCAGACCTACAACCATAAATAAGAAAATGGTACTGATGAGGGCGGATTTGGCCCTCCAATGACATTATGACACATGGCATCTCAGGAAAGCTAGATAACACCTAGACACCACTTAAGTGATGATTTGGAGTCCCAGATCACGGCTTGTCTTTACTTCGACTGGTGACCTGCCTTTACCATCGACCTGGCGACCTGCCTTTATGTCGACCTAGCGACCTTGACCACAACTTTTGTCGGCTTGTAGCACTTCGTCTAGGGTTAGCCTGTAGCACCTCGTTACCGGCCGAAGTGACCTCGACGCAAGGAGCGGCCTCCCTCTAGGGCATGCCAGCTTGGCTGAGGTCCAGGTGGTGACTTGTGAGACGTGCTCACCGACAAATTCAACATGCATATCCCGACACACGTTTCTCGGAAGTTGGCCCACGTACCGAATGTTTTGGAGGATGGTCAACGTGCATAGTGGTTACCTCTGAGGATTTCAGACCAGTTAGACACAACCTCTCGGAAATCTCGGAGGTGATGCGTGAGGGCCACACCAAACAATGCCTATATAAAGGCACCAACCCCAAAGACCCAAGGGAGAAGGTACACACGATTACTTTCTCACTAGATTACTTCCATTCAAGTTTTCAGCTCACAACCAATGTACAATACTAACTTAAGCATCGGAGTGCCCACCCCGGGTAAAGCAACCTGGGCACTTTGACATTGATTCCTTGCAGGTTTCTCTGAAGAGCTACTCAGCTCAACAATCAACCTAGCTTGACACCCGATGTACCCCGAACTCGACCTAGTCAGCTCGGCATCCATGTCTTCATTCGGTAGAAATCCTCCACTTCATCCTCTAAGTCATCGGCCACTTGGAAGTAGTCCAAACAACAGGGTGCTGCCAAAAAACCCTTCATCAATTGAGAAAAATACTTGATCAACTAAGAAAAAATATGCTCACCAAAAAATGTAATTAGCTTGGTAGAGGATGTGATTGGCCAAGAAGAAGGAAACCTATACGTCAAGAAACATGATCAACTAAAAAAAGTAAAACAGGCTTACTAGAAAACATTATAAGCTTTTCAAAAGACATGATCGACTAACAAGATGAAAATGTGCTCACGGAAGAATGTAAACATCAATGGTTGAGGTATGGGAAAGCTCCAATGGTTTAAAGTTGATGAGAGCAAATAGATCTTTTATTTACCTCGACGGTTGATGAGAGCTAGCAAAATGTTGCTTCTAGGCCTTCTTCAAAAGATTAAAATTAAATGCAGTGGAATGAAAGCCTTTGTGTCTGTGTATTTAAAAACAAGAAAGTAAAATAATAGTTGCAAGTATGTTCTTTGTGCAAATACAAAGCAATTAAGAAAATGTAAATGAACAAGGAAAGTAAAGTAACTACTTTCAATATAGCAAATAACTACAAAAGCTTAAAACAAGAACAAAATAAAGCACACAAGATTTTTATAGAGATTTGGCCAACCCCAGCCTACATCCTTTGCTAAGAAAATCTGTTGAGAGTTTCCACTAAAACTAACTAATCAACCCGGGCACCAACAAGCTGTCAATTGGTAGATCTTACAGGTCTCTACCAAACTTTGATTGGTCTTCTAGGTCTCAATCGAAACCTCTATTGGTAGATTCTATATGTCTCTACCACACCTTGATTAGTCTTTTCGGTTCCAATCAAAACCTCTTTCGATGTTCAAACCTTGAGCACTATTGTTTTTCCTCGGTCCCCTCTCCAACTCACTTTTCATACACCAAATGCCTGATCATACCTCACCCCTCTCTTTAGATCATAACAAAACTCTAGGAAACAAAACCTTAACTCAAATACCCTCAAATCCACTGTTAAACCTACAATATTCCCTTCCGACAATCACAATTGCACTACATCACATCCAATCACACCAAATTTCACCCTTAAACTCCAAGTCTTTGTTAATTTTCTACAATGTTTAAACCATAACCCATGCCAAATTAGGAGGGTAGGGTTATATGCTTTACATTCATCAAAGATTATATTTTAATGGATTTGATACTATGACACTTCTCAAACATAAAACCTATAATCCATACATTCCTAGCATGATTGAGCCCTTCTATTAGTCTCATAACCCAAATCTTTGCCACTCCAGCAATTTTCAATGCAAAATTCCCTTATTTACCCCTCCAAACCATACCATTATTGTTCTGGACTTCCCAACTAACCTCCCATCAAATTTTAGACCTAAAATCCCCATTTTGACCCATCTATAAGAAAGATTTCGATTCAGCCACTTTCATCATCTACCACACTCAAAATCATAGACCTCCATTGGGATACCTCCCTCGAGACCTCTAAACCATGCTATTACCTTTTCGGACATCCAGACCAACCTCTTATAAAATTTTATACCTAAAATCCTTATTTTTCCCCTCCTATAAAAAATATTCAAATTTGACTACTCACATTGCCCTACACTCTTAAAATCATATATCTCCATCACAACACCTCTCCTAAGCCATCCAACCCCTACCATTACCTTCTTAAATCTCCTAATTGACCATCCACCAAATTTTAGACCCAAAATACCCATTTTTCCCATCCTTTAGAAAAGATTCTAATTTGACCACTCTCGATCAAAATCATAGATCTCCATCTCAACACATCTCTCAACCCATCCAAGCCCTATTATAAACTTAATCTCTCAATCAACCATTAACCAAACTTTAAACCCAAAATACACATTTTTCTTTATAGAAAAGATGTTGATTCGACCACTCTCATCATTCGCTACTCTTAAAATTATAGATCTCCATCATTGGCACCTCTTCGAAGACCTTCAAACCATACCATTACCTTTTTGGAGTCCCTGATCAACTCTTCATTAAATTACATACCTAAAATCCCAATTTTTCCCCTTCAACGAAAAAGATTTAGATTCGACTGCTCTTATTGTTAGTCACTCTCAAAATCATAAATCTTCATTGTGGTATAACCAATGAGACATCCAAACCTTACCAACACCTTCCTAAAAATATCGTAGTATAAAGTGCACTAGTTATCAAGTAGTATAGAAATATCATTCCCACGAGGATTTAACAAAATAAGTATTAGAACTACAGCTTTCCTTAATTATTTGGACAATCRAATTTCATATTTGAAAATAAAAACTAATGAAAAGCAGAAAAAAGGAAAACAAGAGCAGAAGTAACAATGCTGAAGTATGTAACGATTGGTTGAATTCGCTAGGGCTTTCGGTCCACCTAACCATTCCAATGAATATTAATGGATGAGATTATCCAAGATAATTTGTCATTCACATATGCTGAAGTCTTTCCAATTTTATTTAATATTCTCTCTCGAGATATACTAAAACTACTTCTAT